TGTTCTCCACCGCAGACACCTGCGGTCCGGAGTTTTCCATATATCTCAGCATTTAGCAGTTATATTTCGCAAAATACCTTGCCGTTAAAAAAAATAGGTAGTAAATAAAAAGGTTAAGACTGTTTAGTTTGTTTACAAGAACGCTCAAGTTTACTTTACTGCTCTGATGAATTATCTTGAAGTCAATATCAACAAATTTTCATCCATCTTATTCTCATTTTTACGAAAATAGATCGCTGCCATAGGATTGATAGCCTCATTCCACAGCGACACGAAAATTACCAGGTTTCTAACATGCCGATGTTGACAACTCTGACTTAAATGTGTCAACTGATAACTGATAAATAAATCAATGAGAAGTAGCATAGTTGACAGTAATGATGAAAGTCCTCCAAAAGAGATTCATACCAGACCTGGAATAGCAGTGATATTTTTAGAAAAATCAATGGATAATTTGTAAATGAGCTCAAGGTGTTCAATAAAGCGTGTAGGGCTCTGGTTTGACCTCGTACCTGGCTAAAGAAGCCTCATATTCCTTATAAACTAGGGAACATCAATATATTGAGTCAATGTTCCTTATCTTCCTAGACGAGGTATCGCATGATCGATCTCTGGGGGATAGATGGGCCCATTAGCCCAATGGCGAGGTGTCGAACACAATAAACCCGTTTGTCTTGCACAGCATCTCTAAGCACTGTGCTGCAAGTGCCGCACGCTCCACCACATGAGGAGAAAAATAAGAACAAAAACTTGTGTAACGTTTTATGAAAGAATAACTTAAACAAACAAACAAGAAGAAAAATTGGTTAGAAAATAACTTTAAAGGAAATTAATGAATTGTGTAGAGTTTATCTCTCTTTCCACTCTTTTCTTCTTCAAAGCAGCTTTACCATCGAAATGCAATTCATGTTGTGAATTTTCCCCGCAGTAAAAAAGGAGAACAGGTTCGAGGTTGATCAATAACCGAGAAGTCAACGCGTGCATTGCAAGGCACCTCTAACCACTGCGCTACACGCATCCACTCTCTACAGTATTCCGTCGAAATAGACAACCTCTATTAATGGCAGTTAACCTTTGTCACTCCAATTCGGTAAAGGATATAACATCTCTCTCTCCCCCTCTCTCTCTCTCACTATCGGAATGAGTCTTTTCAACGGATGAAGAAAAAAGCCGAAGCGAGTTTGAAAATTTCTCACTATCAACTGGCTTCAGATATTATTATATCCGGCTGCAAACATGATAAAATGAGAGCAGAAAATCTGTGAAAGAGTGCGTCGTTCCGCAAGAATAGCCCATATCAGCTTGATACGGACAGAAAATGGAAACTGCCCCAGGGGGTGCGGTTTGACACATGAGCACAGTGAAAACTCGTACATAACACATGGCACTAACAACTTCTAGGATGACATTGGAAGATATACTGTGAAAAAAAAAACCAACGAAATTTCTATATGGAAGCAGTGTTCATTTTAGGAACTCTGTGCTGCGCTGAGACAGACATCTTACTCGATGTTTCTCTTCAATAAGCAAACACGAGGTTGTTATTACAGAATTTATTAACACAACAGCTGACGTTTCGAGGTTTCGCCTTCTTCAGAGCCTGGAAAGGTCAAATTGAGATGCGATCTACGCAGCCAAACACTTTCATAACCCCAGCAGATAAAACCTAACAAATAAACTTGCATTCACATAAGAAACAGCTTCATTTAAACACCTACCGTTTACTCGCTGTAAGTATTTCAGTTAGTTGGTGGATAACAGCCGCACCGAGTAATACATGGGCGAGGACTGTGCCTGTGTCAGGTCATTGGATCAGCCTGAGGTATGGCGCCAGGTTACGCGTGGTGACAAGACAGTCCTCTTTGCCGTTCATTTTTGAATTTTTGGAATTTATCCAAAACGCTTCAAGAGTTGTACGAGCAGCCTGCACGAACTCCAAGATCGACTCCGAAGCAACGCTAGAATTGAGACACGAAATAAAAAGGAACAATAAGAAGTGGGGGCACTACTAACACCTTCATTTCCTCGGTTATTCTTTAGACAGCAAGTTTGAACCTTACAGCTGCGCAAAAAACTGATATGCGATAGGTTCGACAGCTAATAAAATCAAAGAATATTAGGCTGTCAGTTAGTGATAAAGGTGGGGAGTTTGTAGTAATTCCTCGCCAGTTAGATGTCGATATGAGGGAAAAACATCTTGAAGACGCATCTTCTTTATCGCGCATCTACTGAAAACGAATTCAGAAGTCAAAATCGAAAGCTGAACAACGAATGGGTCAAAATGGCAAACGCAGCAGGTTTAAAACCAGCAGGCATTTCGCATCTTAAGATCGAAATGCCGACATGTCCCGTCTTACTTACTTATCAAGACCCATAAGTTAATATCCGCTGATGATCTGGCGTCTACCTACCCCTCCACCTTTAACGTTAGACCCATCATCAGTTGTGTAGACGGGCCTACGGATAGAATTGCTTGGTTTATAAATCTATTCCTCAACCAGCTGCTTAAGCACATACCAGCCCATCTCACGAACAGCCAAATGTTCCTAGACCGTCTGCGCAACGCACGTCCCAAAACCGCGTACGTTATGGAGTCGTTCGACGTTACCGCCCTTTACACTAACGTGTCGAACGACTCCGCAATGTAAGCCATCCGCGAGCTTCTTGAGCAACACGTATGGCTTTCCGATTCAGCAGGTTATGGTCCACCTAAAGGTCTATTTAAACTGCTCGATCTTCAGATAGTCGGGAAAATTTTACGCGCTTGGTAATGGGACATCGACTGGTACCAATCCTTGCCGTTGCCTTTATATCTAAAGTGGAAGCACCAGCAATCGATCTCAGGCCATTACTCTACTGTAGGTATATAAATGATTGTTTTGTCATCTGCTCCACACAAGAGGAGATGGACAAATGCTTTGAGTCATTGAACGAACAGTCAGAGTACATAAAATTCACCGTGAAAAACCGAAGAAAACTTGCTTCCATTTCTAAACGTTCAAATTAACCTACCCGAAAACGGCTACGTTACAAAATGGTATCGAAAGCCTAGCAGTAAGAATATAGCGGTTCATTACCTCTCCTCTCATCCCTCACACACTAAAAGGGCTCTTATAAGAAATATGTTTCGAACTGCTGCCAGCGTGTGCACAGGTAGAGAGGGAAGAATCCTCGAAACTGGCGGGCCAAATAGCCATTTCAAATGGTTACGAAACTGTAGCTTCTCGGCATAGGCAAAGAGGAAAACCCACGCCCCAGAGCGATAATTCTAGTGAAAACAAGGCTCCGTTCCTCTTGCCCTTTATTTCAAACGAAATAAGTGCAGCTATAAAATGTTGCTTAATAAGAGCCGGTCTGGAGAATTCCGTAAGAGTGATAGAAGTACTATCGGGCACTATAAAACCACAGCTAGTTCGCAACCGCCTATATGACCGCCTGTGTCCAACGAAAAACTGCATAACTTGCCCTAACGGTAGAGACGGTGATTGCATGAGTTCGGGTACAGTCTGTCTGATCTCTGGTAAAGCGTGCGGAGACGAATACGTTGGCGAAACGGGTAGACCACTCTGTGTCAGCGTAAAAGAACACCTAGTCGGTAAACCTAAATTAAAACTAAACACTCCTCCACTAGGAGCGCATAGAATGCAGGAACACAACGGAGAAGATTTTGAAGTAGGAGTCGCTATCCTCACGCGGGAATCGAAAACATCAGCGCGTAAAACTCTCGAAGTGTTTTGGATCAATTCCAAAAATTCAAAAATGAACCGCAACGAGGGATGTCTTGTCACCACGCGTAACCTGGCGGCATACCTCAGGCTGATCCAATGACCTGACACAGGCACAGTCCTCGCCCATTACTTTGTGCGGCTGCTATCCACCAACTAAAATACTTACAACAAATAAACGGTAGGTGTTTAAATGAAGCTGTTTCTTATGCGAATGCAAGTTTATTTGTTAAGTTTTATCTGTTGGGGTTATGAAAGTGTTTGGTTGGGTATATCGCATCTCAATTTGACCTTTCCAGGCTCTGAAGAAGGCGAAGCCGCCGAGACGTCAGCTATTGTATCCTAATAAATTCTACAATAACAACCTCGTGTCTGCTTATTGAAGAAAAACATCGAAGACGAAACAGTACGACGAGTGGTTGTTCCACAGCATGAACTTACAAATGAATTGTAGTTAGACAAGGAACAAAGGAAACCAAGCGGACTGCGCTGAACTTCCTATCAAAGTCACTGAGGAACGAGACTATTCAAGGAACGTTATGGTATTTCGCTAACAGACAAATTAGAAGTCATCAGGGCGGATCAACAAACCAATAAAATTGTCACGAAAGAACAAAAATAAGAGGAGGAAAAATGATAGTAGATAAAGGGAATGATAAAAATGGCATGTTATTTGATCGATAGATCAGAAGAAGACTGCTTGCTGACCAATTGACTCCTTGGAAGAACACCAAAAGAAATTCATGACAGATGATAACGATTGTCGCTATGGCGATCGAATAATGTTCGACCAACCACACAGCTTCATGCCAATAAACCTAATAATGACTTTGTCAAACGACGTTTATAGCATAGTAAGAACGTTCGACTAGTAGCATTTATAAGTTAAAAAAAGCTGTCGACGTCGATCAATCCCTGAGGAATGCGCCACGCATTCGACTTCATTAAGCATCGTTTAGAGCTGATTGAACGCATATCTGGCCTTCACAATGACTTACGGTAGCCTACCGATGTATCCAGCCAGCGCTAGCATCCTCCCAGACAGGTCTGGTACCAATTTGCCCACCCCCGCAGGAATGGAGGGTTCAATGAACCTGAGCTGCGAGGATCGATCTCATGTCTATTGCGGGGCATCTCCGACCACTGCGTTGAACCCACCCTACAGGTAAGAAGAGGAAATTTCCTAACAAAAAAGAAACTCGAAAATGAACAAACACCTTCTGACGACCTTATTCTTTACAAGAAATACCCTATGGAAGAAGCTAATTTACCCAAATGTGTCGTATAGTGGATAGGAAAAAGTTCCCACAAAAAAAAGCGATGTCGTGTTGTTATAACGACGCCGCGGACGGCGTCGATCCGTTTGGGTGAGTCGGACGTCTGATCGGTGTCATGTAAATCACAATTTATGAATAAACTTTGTAGAAATATGGGGACAGGACAACTAGTAATTTATCGATTATTGTAGGTGTGTAAAAAAAACGAGCGTAATGAACTACTGAATTATCAGCGAGGAATCAGAGGGTGGTACTCGGCGAATCGATAGCGGAACGATTTGAACGTCGTCATCCTTTCGTCAAATATCCGAGAAAATGTCACCAGAACACAAAATTGGGCCTGATTTTGTGAAAAAGTTGTCACAAAGGAACTTTTTTGAAACAAAAAGAATTGATCAATACTGCTAAGTTTTTATGGCGGCATTTCATGCACTCGACTAGCAGGTTTAGATTTATTGCGTAACTCGTATTATATGAAATAAAATGGAATAGATAAGGGAAGACGGAGAGTGATAGGAAGACTGAAAGCTGAGTGCATTTTGGGTGCACGAGGATTTGCGAACGCTGTTCCCAGGGCGTGGACGCGATGACTGGCCGGCTGGCTGGCTGACGGGCGGGCGCGGGCAAGGAGTAGATAGCAGAAAATTGAAGATAACTGCATACTAAGAACATTAAAGGAAACACTTCTGAATGAAGGCAGAGATGAAAAATGGTACTATTGCCTACTGATTCCAGAAAGAGGTACTGGTCAGAGAGGTCGAAAAGAACTTGGAAGTTTAACTTGCTGTTGAGAGTATCTTATGAAAAATCTAATGATGATGATCGGATGATCGATAAGAGGGGAATCAGCGATGAATCCGAAACATCGCTGTAAGCACCTATACATCTATGAGGATTATGATAACCGTATGATTAAGAAAAAAGGAAAAGTAGGGGAAAGATGACATATTTAGAGATTACTGACATTGACAGTGGCAAGCCAGAAAGTAACGAAAGAGACAGGAAAGAATATTTTGCTGGATGAGGAGCGACGGCCAGCGTACGGATGGATGGTGACGATAGGTGGCGGAACAGGTCGGAAAAGGGCGGGTCGTCGTCGCCGTCGGAGGCCGCGCACAGAACGCAAGGGCGTGGTCGTCGACAAGAATCACGATGTGGAGATGAAACGAACCGGAGGAATCGGAAGAAGTGAAGAGAAACACAAACCGGCGTGAACACGAACAGAGATGACCGACCGGAAGAGACGAGGCAGACGGAAACGAGACGAAGAACGAAGCGCGAAATCAGACAAGAAACCGACCGAACAGACTCGCTGTTATGGTTCGTGTCTTTCCTTTTGTCAGGCAGTTCTCTCCATGGATACCTCCATTTTTTCTCTAATTACGGAAACAAAAAAATGTAGATTTATTGTGCTCGCTTAAAGTAGAGAAAAAAGTGAAATCGCAGTCATGGAGAAAAAAATTTTCGACCAAATGTAGATTCGAAGCAGAATGACTGAAATCAGGAGGAAATCAAAGAAGACACAAGAAGAAAACTGGAGAAATGGCTACGATGAAATCTGTTCCAATACGACGATCAATTCAGTAAAGTGTCACGATGTACGCGACCTTATCGATGGTGGTAGATCAAAGCACTGGGACGAGAATGATGCAGAACAACATGAAGAATAAACAAAAAATAGCATTGTAAATTAGGATTATGAGGTTTCTCTAAAGAGTGACATAGCTGATAGATTTTACGTTTGAATTTCGACAAAAGTGCTATCTACTGAGTAACCAGTCATTGGAGCCATAAGTGGAATGAATTTGCATTGCTCACTTATTTCTGGGTGGCAATCGAATTTTCTGGCACGAAAAATTGTCATCGCCAGATGAAGATGAGTCGTTGTCATGTCATCGTTAACAGTTTGACCGAACCAATCAAAGAAGGACAACCAATAGATGAAAGTGAACGACGAAGAATGAGGAGAGCGCACAAACGGCGTGGGAACACCATGGTGGGTCAAAGACTGATTGGCATTATGCCAGACGCACTTCACTACAAACTAGTTCTAAACTCACTTCACTTAATGTGCACAACAATGTCATTGGCAAGGCGTTTTCGTTATAGGACCGCCACATTCGGTGGTACGGTATGTCGATTCTCACCCAGTAGGAAGTTTTTAGCCCTAACTCCGTGAAAAAAAAGTGTTCATGGAGAAAAAAGGGAAAGAAGAAAAACTCTTTTGGAACCAAAATCACTCTTATTTATTTTATTTAGTTACTCATTTATAATGTAGCAGCATAATAATCAATAAATCGATTGAACTCGGTAAACTTTGCAAGTGTGACCCAAGGCACATGATTATGGATGTTGATAACCAAAAATTAATTGAACATGTTTTTTGGAATGTTCAGATGACAGATCTGGTATGCAATGTGTAATACAAATGACGAATGAAAACAAGAAGGTTGCACACTTGCATTTCTTGTCGCTTAGTTCGATCTCTTCCGAAGCGCATAAAAAAAATTCTACACCGTTGTCAGATGGACAGCATATTGTACTTGGTGGCCATTTGGATCTAAGCTGAAGTAGATAAGAAGCTGTACAGCATTGCAGGTCCGGTGCGGCGACGTGCGCCTACATGGTGTTGATTCCGATGAAGCAGCAAAGTAGCCAAAAATCATCAATAAAACAACATAAGAAAAGATCATTGAGATATTGAGATGGAAGACGTGTTCAATAAAATGAAGTTCATCTACGTGGGCTGGAAGATCGCCCTTATCATCTATACAGATCAGCTCAAATCTCCACTCATTTACAACTACTATGGATAGGGCTCAGCACTCATTCACATTTCGTTGTCAGGGTGCCTTCTCTAAGAAAAACACCCTTTTTATAAATGTGAAGCTGTTTCCTGACTTAAAAAAATTGTTCATGCTTTTCTCTAATTTTCACTAAACCATCATTAGCAAGGAGAAGAAAAACGAGTTTGGGCACTGGAAAAATAGTTTTAAATCGCAGAGATGTTGTTCAGAAAACACAACCACAACGAATCACAACAATGCTGATATATTCACAAAACTCGGACCCTGAAGCAGATCGAACCACGACTCTCCTTTCCACGATCTTGCGCATTACACACTGCACCACGACCAGTGAATCACATAAACGTCAAAATTCCTTCCATAGAAAAAATAAGAGCTCTAGATATCACTATTGGTATTACGCTTTATGAAAGACGTGACAGCAGATTATCGTAACTTTATTGTGAATGCTAGAAATTCTGGAGTAAAGCAAAATGATAAAAATAAATCCGGCAAAAATCTAAGTGAAGATAAACTGAGCGAACAAGTTCTATTCTTCTGTAGTATTGCCCAGACAAGCAGCAGCTTGGTCGAGACGACAATGACAACAAATAAGACTTTCTTTTAGACTTTTTCAGAGCTCAACTTAAATCATGATTTAAAAATGTCACAAAAAATACATCGAATAGATTTATTGGTGCCTTAGTTCTAGCACGCAGGCAACAATACTTAATGCTGTCTCAAAGTTGGAAATGCTGAAATTCATCGACTAGAGTCCATTCGATAAACGTAGGCAGTAGGTACGTCCTACCTACTCTGAGTACAAATTCATCTACACAACAGCCTTCCTGTAGATGAAATCGGATCGTTAACTACGGCAACAAACTTGATTGCTGTCATGTATTACAGAGTCTCGCTCATTCTGTGAAGCAGAACATTGTCAATGGAGCCGCTAAGTGTTAGGACAAGGTCGTCGTCATCTTCGGTATCCGCAGTCTATACGACTCAAAACGAGCTCGCTTAGAGGACTTCCAAAGAAGCTCATAAAACATACTGGCAATGAATGACGATCGTTTAATGCAAATGTGAAGCTTTGGTCTTTTTTTGCAGCGAACCGCAATTCGACACCCTGGAATGCTGTGCTCGTGGCACTGTCAGGTGCGATAAACTTTCGGAGAGAGGAAGACAGCGAGTTCACATTTCATTCATTCCTCCGTTCCTATTGATTTATGACATTTTGGAAGCAATCACACTGATAGCAAATAAACTCTTTTCTATCGATCTATCGGCTTTCTCGGAAACTACAAACGTGCCTTTTGTAACGTAATAGATTCTGTGATTGGTTCAGAACCCGCTGGCATATGAAACATGGATATTAACTCTATCTTCTGATGTAACCATCGAAACTGGAGCACGAAATCTCCATCCGTCTTCCCTATACTGTTCTAGAGCTCTCAGGTTCATAGGAGTCAGAAAAAAACACGAGAAATATCGTTATTCTCGTACAACAACAATTTTCAATGTTTCTGACAAGATGGTAGGCACAGAGATCTTCATTTTTTCGGACAGCCTAGGAACAGGCTTTGAGGTTAATTGTTGACTGTAATCCCATATTCCTTCTGATATGTTCTCCTATTAGTTCATCGTTGCTTTTTCGTCGAATCGAGTGAGTGATACAATCCGTATGCACATAAAAATAACCACATGCTCATGGATGAGCAATATGCCTACGTTGATGAGAAAGCTGTGAACCAATCCGCCCCAACAGAAACAAGGAGTTCATCTCTAGAGTTAACATGCGACATTTAGCTGTGCGTCATGCAACTTCGCCAGTAAATAGCCTAAATTTCTCGACATGAAGAAGATCTGTAAAAGCACGGATATATAAGTATTAAAAACGCTGGAGGATAAACCTCCTATTTATTAGGCACTGTAGAGGTGATTGACAGTGTCATTTTATCTTCCCATACAACTCTCATACATAAGAGACCCAATCCACGATCGATATTGTGGGCGGATCGTTATCCCAAGTGCGGCATCGAACTGAAGACCACATTTTTATTGGAGGGCACTTCTAAGCTTTGTACATATATAAATATTATAAGAGTAAATAATTCAATAAACAAATAAATCGGTTACAATTACTTCTAAAGTCTACAAGATTTCCAAATTTTTTCTTTCATTGTTCACATGTTGCACTATACGGTAGTAGGCAAGTTTTCAATATTGAAAAGTATAGAAAGATTTGTTGAAGGTTGAGGGAACGAATATTTTAAATGAAAACAATAGTGAGCAATGAAATAATAAAAGCAAAAACTGTAAATAAAAGGTAGCGATCACTAAAAGGACAAAGGATTAAGCTCTTGGCCTTGATCAACCCCTAAGGGATGCGCCATGTATTCAACTTCATTAAGCGCTCTTAGGAGGTGATTGAATGCATATCTGGCTTTTACAATGACTCTCGGTGGCCTACTGATGCATAAAGAAAGTGCTGCTATCCTTCAAGATAAGTCTGGTACCAATTTGCCGACTCTGGAGGAATGGAAGGCTTGGTGGGTCATGGACGCGAGGCTTATTCCACGTGTGTGTTGCAGGGCGCCTCCGACCACTGCGCCACACCCGCCCTGCAGCACACATTGATCAGTAGATGATAATAATAATGGTAATAGTAGTTGTAGTAATTACAACACATAATGGTCTATATGAATAGGGAACAAGTTACGCTCATTTCTTTGTTGCATAAAAACGGAAAAGCTCTGCATTGTTTTCATCAAACCCGAATCTAAAGATGGAGGCTTCTGCATCCACAAGATTTATTTTTTCACAACAAATCTTGCAAAAATTGTTTTCGCAATAGAGGAGTACAAAAGACTAGAGATGAAGGAAACATTCAAAACAAAGCATTTACGAGAACCATTCTGTTTGCAGAAAATCAGAAGACCACTACAAGAATTTCATATTCCTTCCCTGAAGTTGAATACTTGTAAGATTTCGCTCGCCTCTAGTCGTAATCTCTTGACTTCATGATTCTCATTTATAAGGAGTTGGAGCGTGTGGGAGAGGAGAGTGGTGGGCGCTGGACAGGATTGGTAAGGGACGAGACCCTTGTTGACCGCGCTAATTTTCCAGTTCATAGTGACCGCATAAAATCACCGTTGTCGAGAAGAGAAGAGACAACGACTTGCGTCGCAATCACGACAACGGTGGTCGAAGTCTCTACGACGACTCGACGACACGGACGATTTCCGCTTTCCGATTAAGTGAGTGTCTCTCTTCCTAACATCATACTGCTCACCAATGCTTCCAGTTCATTGTGACGGCGCACAAACTCCGTCGTCGAAAAGAGAAGTGATGACCACTTCCGTCGCAATCACGACGTCGGTGGTCGAAATGTCTGCGATAATTCGACGACACGGACGATTCCCGCTTTCCAATGGAGTGAGTGCCTCTCTTCCTAACATCATGTCGGTCACTGATGTCGTGTCCTCACGGTAGTTTCACACTGCGCCACTTCCGGTGTTGAGCGATCGGCGTCGCCAGGATTTTCTCGCTCACTGTCGTTGTCTGTATTGTTTTCAGAGAATTCACGAAAAACAAATGGCTAATGCGATCTGTGAACGCTCACCAATAAACTGTTAAAAGAGAATGTCTAAGTAAACATGTCAACGGATAGAGTTTTTGACTTTAATGAGTTCCATATGTTTGCGCTTTGCATTGGACTACAATCGCAACGTCCTAAACGTGCCTGTACACATATATGGTTTATAAAGTGGTTTACGGTAGCCTTCCAATGTATGAAGTCTGCGTTGCTATCTTCTTAGACTGGTCTAGTTCCAATTTTCTGTTCTTACGGGGACGCACGACCTGATGATTATGTAGCGTGGCATCGAACCAGTGATTCATCCATTCATTGTGTACAGCAGGGAGACTCTAACTACTGAGCTACATGGATCTGACATAAATTTACTATACTGTATTGACAGCGATTTTCAAAAGTACTATCTAGTCAGTGATCGATTGTAGGTATAACCATATTGTGATTCATCTCTTCTCATTATACCCTTCTCTTTTTGCCTCTCATCAACATGACCATTACTATATGAATATAGCTGAACTTCTTTCTACAAAAGAATTCACCTAAACAAAAGCATATGATAGAGATGAGCCCAATGTCGTAAGGCAAATGACGTTGTTCACCCGCAGTTAACAGCTGCCAGCATCAAAATATCACTATCTTATTTAGTCGGTCACTTATCACTTTTTTCAATAGTTATCGTCATTGAAGTCCGACTCAGTTTGCCATAGTTTTGTGAAAAACGAGCTCACAACAAAAGTCACGTTCACACACAAAATTTTTTTCCCGATCCCATTCCTCATCCTGTTGAGGAAGACTTCTTTAAGACAGAAGAAAAAAGACATCTTTAGGACTCATTAATACTGGGTAGTGAGTGACTTGCCATTGCTAGATGCGAGTTACATCATACTGGACTCGAAAATATAACTCTTAGGCTTCACAGCTCACTTCTAGCTTTGCTGATTTTGCGAGATTCAATTTTCAGGTGTTCACTTTTTTCTATTTCTCTCTTAGCAGACTTGCTTTCGACTCTACACGTGATAAACACTTTCCGACTAAGCCATAAGCCACCTACAACTGCGCACGGTCAGGTGCCAGTGGCTACTGAGAAACACCTGCGGAGTAATGTGAGAGTTGTTGGGCGAATTTTTGAAATAACGAGAAGGCTGCGGCGAAGCAAACTTACGTTATGGCAGACTCGAATTAATAGTAGGATTTTTTCTAAGAAAAGAGGAGCTATCACTACCACCTGAAATACATCCTCATGAAAATCCTTTCTACTGTACTTGTCACTCAAAAAAAGAGCGGATACTACATTGGCTTGAATCACCTGATAATCAGTGGAAGGACACTTGATGCAGATGACACAGAATACCAATAAGATGTAACAAGAGTAGGTTAAGTGTAACAAAAGTGACAACCCATTTACATGATTATCAATTCCTTTTTATATTCAGCAACAGGATCGAAATGGAGGGACGTAGAGATAAGAGTTGGTAGTGGACAATTACAACATCTGTGCCGATGACATAGTTGTTTCTAATGCCTTATGAATGAAGGAATACGAAAGTTCCAGCACAAATGCTCTTGTATATGAGTTGAAGCTAACATAATGAACAAGTTCGTTCCAGAGGTAATGAGGTGGGAGTGAAGGGCTTTGAAAGTTCATAACAATAACATTGAGAATGTAATGAAGTGAAAAAATCAGAATCATAAAGCGTCCGACATCGATAAACCAAGCGAAAAATCAGTATTTTCATCATTCCATAAAAGTGTGGTACCAAATGTCAATTACGGAGGTTTGGAGGCTATGTTTGTCAAGGGCGCTGGACCGAACTAATGATCCTTTGTGCATTGCAAAGCACATCTAACCATCGCGCTAAATAAGTGTCGTAGCAAAGTATGTAAGGATAAATCACACGATTTTAATCAATCTCTGAAGGATACGCCATGCATCAAACTTCATCCAGCATCGCTTGAGGTGAATGAATGCATGTCCGACCTATATAAGACCAGCGGTGGCCTACTGCAATATCAAATCAATGCTCCTATTTTCCCAGACATGTCTGATAGCAATCAGATGACTCCGAAGCGATCGAAGGCTTGGTGAACTCGAAGAGTGAGGTGCAATTGAATCAACGACCAGGTGTACATTGAAGGATACCTCTAACGACTGAGCTACACGTGCCCTTAAAAGTGCTAGATGCTGCAAAAGCAAAATAGAACTTCGTTTACCAACAATCTGAAACGCTCTATCTTAATGATGTCGGTAGAAATATACAGTATCATATACACAAAGAGAAGAGAAGGTTCGCAACTCCAATCCACAACTGTTAACAATCAAAGAGATCAAGGACACTATCTAATGCATCAAAGTGGCGAAAAATTGTCAGGAAGGGGTATGTGGTTCGCCTTTACAACGACTGATAGACAAAAATCACTTCCGAGACGGAGTCATGGGATGTTATGCATTGCAGCAGTATCGGCCACTGAGCCGGTGGTTAAAGCTCTTCATGAAGACCATGAACAAAAACTGCAATACTCTTTGTGACCATCGAACAAGTAGAGTCCACTGCGTCCTTTCCCAAGGAGAAAAGAATGTACGAAAATGTCTATTGAATTCTTAGACGATGATCAGCAACAGAACAATTGACACAGGTGATGTTTCAACTCAATACCAGTGCCCGAGGTTAGGTGCAGAACATTTGCTAACAGAAAGAAAATTAGGTGATGTGATGAGACTTTGTGGAGGGAATGAACATGAGGAATTAAGGGAAACGGATGAGAACGATGTCAACTTTTTGGCAAGATACAAATTATTTCATTACATTCGCTAAAAATGTGTTAATATCTTTGCGAGATATCAATCAGAACACGAATAATCGTCCAATATTGATATCAACGAAATTTTAACACTCATAATGTAATCACTTTTTATTCACTGCCATGGCAGCATATGATGTGAATTATATGCTGAGATATTTGCAAAACTCCAGACCGGAGGAGTCTGTGGCGGGGATCGAACACGCTATTACCTCTTGCTGGGGTTAACCCATTCACTATCATACCACACCAGACCTTCATTTCGCCTTTCCCTCAGCCGTGTTTTTAACTTATATGTGCTATCAGCAATCACCCGTCAACAGGACACGGCACGGTGTTAACACTTCTGCTAGCACTCATATATAAACACACATTTGTTAAGGTTCGCTAAGTTTAAGTTGCTCTGAAAGCAATAGATTCGAGATCCAAACGATGAACAAGTTACGCTTTGCTTTTTTATTTGCTGTCTACTACATTTTTTTAATGTCAAGGCACTATGCTGAGATAAATATTCGCAACGATGCTGAGATATTCGCAAACGCCGGACCGCAGGTGTCTGCGGTGGAGAACGAACGCGTTATTACCTTTTCCGGGTGCTAACGCACGCGTTCACCACCACACCATGCTCGCCTTTCGTTTCGCTTGCTTCTCAAAAAGAATAAGTTACAGTTTTGACGATAAAAAGCAGAATATTATAATTTTTATCCTGTATATCCTGCATTCACTAAAAATTAAAAAGAAGTAACCTTCGTAGAAACGACAAAGAAAAAGCGGAGCTCTATTTTTGGATATTTAATGACAACTAGTATGAGTAAAAGAACAACCTCGCCCACTAGGTTTCGAAAGTAGTAAGGAAAAGAAAGGCAGAAGAAAAGAGAAAATAGTCACTTTATCAGAGTTCCAAGTTCAAAATCGATTCGGCAGCTTATTGACGAACTAATTGACAAAGACTATTGTCGACAAAGTGGAGGCGCGTGAGCGCTGGTGAAAACTCTGTACATTTCGTGTAGCGCATCCGAAGTGCTCAGTAAAGTTCCCTTCACTACTCGAGGGACACAAGAAGCATTACGAAAAAAAACGACGTCTTTTTGGTTATTGCACTGAAAGAGACCTTTATTTTGATTTCATTTCAATTCACTGCAAAATCTGTTGAGACGATTAACAATTTGCAGGTGAAACCGACCGATTCACTTCGGGGTCGGCAAATTGGTACCAGACCTGTTTGGGAGGATGGAAGCACTGACTCGATACATCGGTAGGCCACTGCAAGTCACTGTAAAGGCCAGATATGCATTCAGTGACCTTCAACGATGCTTAATGAAGTCGAATGCATGACGGATTTCTAAGGAATTGATCAACGACGAGAGGATTATCCTTTATTTTATCCTTAAGTGAAACCTACTACGCTTCTAGAACGAACATTCAGCAAGTATCTAGAATTAAGTAGCGATTACAAGTTCTCAAGTTGCCGCTGGTTCGATCTGGCCTCACAAGCCAACCAAATCCGTCATTCCTTCGGAGTTGGTAAATTGGTCTCAAACTTGTCTGAGACAACGAAAACACTAAATTGATATATCGATTGCCCTCATCATTGTACAAGCCAAAGATTCAACCAACCTTCTTCGATTATTAAGCAAAAAGGAAGTTGATAATAAAAGGATAAAGGATATAAATGACTTCATTAAGATTCGTTGGAGAGGATCGGATGCATATCTAACCTTTACAATGACCCGCGGTAGTCTACTGATGTATCGAGCCAGTTCTGCTGTCCTCCCAGACAGGTCTGCGTCAACCCTAGGAGGATGGAGGGCTTGGTGAACCACGGGCACGGTGATCGATCCCATGTGTGTATTGCGGAACGCC